TGGGCAAAGGTTCAAGGGTGAGAACTCATAAAATAGGTACAAAACAAGCAGTGTAATAGTAATAACAACTAGCATGTATATAGTGCTTTGAGCTTTACAAAATGCTTTAGAAATACCATCTCATTTTACTCTCATGTTTATTATTATTATTTTTTGTCTCTTGTCTGTCTTCTCTATTCCTTGTTCAGGCACCAGGGTTTTTGTGGCACTCAGGATTCACAAAAAGGTATTAGTGACTAAACAATTCTAGGAGTGTTTGCATTTTAAGAGATCAGTAGCACTCCCCTCTCTTTTTTCCCCACAAATTACACTTCTCTAATGGAGGAATTTTGATTACCAGGAAAGCTTTATGGGATATCCTAGAGAAATTTAAATGAACTCAAATGGGAAATTACCAAATTACATTCAATCAATTAATAAACACTTATTAAGCATCTACTATGTGCCCTGCTGAGACTGCAGACAAAAGTCAGGACTAAAGTCACAGGATGGTAGAGTTAGAGCTGGAAGAGATTTTGCAGATGATCTCTTTCAACCTTCTCATTTTACAGATGATGAACTAGGAATGTTAAATGACTCATCCAAGGTCACACAGATATTAAGTAGCAGAATTTAAATTGAACCCAGGTCCTCCAGCTATCAATTAGAATACTTGTTGGATTGTATCATACTGCCTCAGAGACAAAGGTAGATTAGAATCTGCAGCTTTTTATTGCTCCTGACAGCAGAGTGGTGGAAATCTGTCTGTCTGTCTGTCTCTCTTCTCTCTTTCCCTCCCCCTACCCCCAACCTTGTTGGTAGTTGTGAAATTATTTCCCAAGCCTTGAGGTTGTAAAATTAGAAAAACTTTTTTTTTTGCTTAAGCTTTCCTTTCCTCATGTTTTTGAGACTCTGTAATTTAAAGGAAATCCAATCCATATGTTTGATTATTCATACTTCCATCATCAAAAATATTGTTGATTTTTAGAGGAGCTTTTGATGTTCTGGAAGTTGTAATAAAAAAAAAACCCATAAAAGCATCCTTCACCTTCCTACTGTCCCTTTACTCCAGAAGAACTTGAAGTAGAGTTTTATTAAAAAGACTGAAATAAAAAAGGTCATTGAAAGATTCTTGTCCTTTCTCTGGAGTCTGAACATATCTCAGCCATGTCCCACTCAGAGCTTTGTGGGGTTGCCTTCCCCTAGACTATTTATAGGCTAGCTGATTCATATGTGACACCCCATCCCAGTTCCTAATTCCCAAAAAATAAAAGAAAGAAGAGAATGCAGAAAAAGAAAGGAGATAAAAAGAAAGAAAAGTCCTACCCATCTTGTGGGGGAAATCCAAATCTTCCATCCTCTAGGCTTTCTTTCCTCCTCTGATTCATCCTGTTCATATTGCCAGGTTACTCATCCCTGATGAGCAGTTCTGATTGAATGACCATAGGATTTAGAACTGGAAAGATGGTCAGCAGTGGACCCAAGATTATAGAGATAACAAATGGCAAGACAGGGCTCAGATCTTTCCTTTGCTCAAAATCCTTCCTAGGATTTAGAATGAGAAGGGAGCTTAGACCCCCAATGATCTAACTGAATCCAGCCATTTGACAGAAGGGGGAACTGAGAACCATAGACAGGTATGGGGAGGGGAAGGTGGTTCTTCTTGTAGCTTTCCTCAATCTTTGAGAAGGTAGGTACCGTTGCTGGCATCAGACTGACTCTTCTGCCCCAAGATACCTGTAGAGCAGGCAATCTCGTGATGGTGCTCCTCAATCTCGCCCTTCTCTGACACGCTTCTCCTTTCCCTGGTTGCTCCCAGGCTGCTATCATTTCTGGATTGCTTTCCTCTCTATTGCCAGACCCTTGGAATATCTCAGCCCTGCTTTCCTACACTTCCTCCTGGGATGACCACGTGCCTCACCCAAGCAGAACAGACTTCTTTTGGAACCTAGCTCTCACTGGCTAATTTAGTCAAGAAAAATTCTCACCTAACAAAGGTAACAACTTGCCAGTGGGGTAGAATTATCAATCAATGGCTCTTACACTTAACAAAACTTGAAAGTAGCCCATGCAAAGAAAGAGATGAGAGATGAGAGTGCTGACTTTAGAGGGAAACAAAAAAAGATTGGATTGAAACTCAGAGTTCATGGGGGGAAATAATGTTCAGTCCTTCAAGGCTCATCTCAAGTGGGACTTTCTCATAAAGCTTTCCTTCATTCCCTCATCCTCAGCTGAAAAGACTCTCTGATTTCAAAGAACTTTGGCTTGTATTTATGAACAGAACGTAATGATATAATAATATAATTGTGGGCAGTGTTTTCTATGCCCATTAGTTGTAGCACTTCAAGCTCGTAGACCATTTTATTTTCGTACTACCCACAGCACAGTTCTCAGTACTAAGTTCAATTGGAACAGGGGTATTTTCACTTTTGTCCTTGCATCTTTAACACCTATCACAGTGCCTGGCACGTAGTAGGTGCTTAAAGTGTTTGTTGATAGGTTAATTGTCAAAAGCTTGCTGAGTGAGTGTTTTAGTAACTCCAGGCAATTAAGACGATTTTGTTCTTTCCACTTGGGCATGGAGGTTATACAGGGCCTAGAATCAAAAAGACCTGATTTCCAACCTGGCCTCAGAAACTTCATAGCTGGTGACCTGGGCAAGTCATTTAACCTCTGATTGTCTCAGTCTCCTTAAGTTAAAATAGGAATAATAACAGTGCCTCCCTCAAAGGGTTGGTGTAATGATCAAATATCTGTGAAGTGCTTGGACTGGCTTAGTGCCTGACACATAGTAGGTGATTAAGAAATGATTTCCAGTCCATTGCATTCTACCTCAGCTTCTAGCGGACAGGGCTAAGACGGCTGCCCCATTGCTTTGCTTATAGGTGGTACCTGTTCCCTGCCCCCAAATAATAGCCAGCATTTCCCTGGAGATCTGAGATTTGTGAAGTACTTTCCTCGTAATAGTTCTGCAAGGTAGGTAGTGCTAGTATTGTTATCACCTCATTTTACAAATGAGGAAACTGAGGCACAGAACATACAGTGAAGTGACTCTCCCACAGCCGATAAATGTCAGAACCAGGCCTTGGGCCTCTGGGTCATCTGACTCCAAGATCATGGTTCCATGCTGCATTTCCAAATCTGACTTGTATAAAAATGCACGTTATTTTTCAGCCAGTCCTTCTGAATAGCCTTTATCTCTCTATCACTAACTACCATCTGTCTCTCTATTTGGCTTTGGAGTGAGAGGATGTGCATTAAAAACCTGCCTCTGTCACGCTCCAGCTATGTGACTTTGGTTAAGTCATTCAACTTCTATGGGACTCTGTTTCCTCATTTGTAAAAGTGAAGGGGTGACTAGATGGTCTCTTCCATCTGAAGACCTGTGATTCTGTTTGACTTTCAAAGAGATCTCATTTTAGGGGTACACCTATATGGTGGTCCCCTACATTCAGGTTAATAATGTGCCTTATGGAAAGACAGCATGATGTAGTTGTAGTGAATAGAGAGGTTCTGGCTTCAACACACCCTTGGGGATCCCCCATTTTACTCCTGTCATTGTACTCACAGCAACATAAATGTGTATATGTTCCAGGGGAGGGAGTTTCTGCTAGGGAAGGAGGGCTGAAGGACTTCAGGGGAACGGCTGGGTGGGAGGGGTGCAGAAAGGAGGGAAGAGAGCAAATTATTTCTGGCTGGCATTTCCAGACAAGGCCTCAGTCAGAGGCCAAAGCTCCTTCAGGGTTTTCATTATAATTGTTATTGACCTTTGGAGCCCCGAGCAAAGCCATTATCCATTAAAAAAAAGTAAATAAAAATAATTTCTTTGACTTTCCAAGAATGAAGTTTGGCTAATGTAGCCCTGCCTGCTGACTGTGGGAAAACAATGTGTCTCCTCATGGCCAAGAAATAAGCATTTGAAATTAATCCATTGATCTCCATAGAAAACCCTATTGTACCAAAACTTGTCTTGTAAAGCTGCATCCTGCAGATGGCCCTTCCCCAACAGGATGCCCATTGAAGTCAACATCAGAATTGATGGCAGGATATGGCCCTAAAATGCTCCAGATCTAAGTAGCTCAGAAAATCATGCTTATTGGGGGTGCCCCCCCCCGGGCAATTTTTCCTCAGGAATCCAAGAAATAACGACAGTTTCCTTTTTATAGGCTCACTGGCTCTCATTGTAGGAAGGGACTTCTGGAATCATTGGGTCCAACCTGGACCTATCCAGGAATCCCCTTGATAACATTCCCAACAAGGGAGTATCCAACTTCCACTCAGAGACCTCCTTTGAGGGAGGAGCCGTTACCACCCAAGGCAGTCCATTCCACTTGGGGACAGGTCTAACCAAATACGTTTTGCCTTCCTGATTACCCTCCTTCTGTTAGGCTACAGTGTGCTGGTGCCCTTCCTCAGACACCGGCCCCAGACCTGAATGCCACATTATAGGTGTTGTCTGGCTAGGCGAGAACACAGCAGGCCTGTCACCTCCTCTGGACTAGGTGCTGGGCCTCTCTATAAATTCTCTCTAAGCTCATGGGAGTTTTCTCAGCTGCTACATGTTTTTCATGGTTCATGTTTGCAATTTTAAAAACACTTTCTTCAGAACAACTCTGAGAAGTTAGCAGTGAAAAAAATATATATATATATTGAGGGCAGGGCCTATTTTTGCCATTGTATTTGTAACCTACTGCTTGCATGGTGCTTGACACTTAGTAAGTACTTAATAAATGATGAGATGAGAGAAAAGAAGTGAAGGGAAGAGAAGAGGATAAGTGAGAAGAGGAGAGGTGGGAAGAGAAGGGAAGGGAAGAGAAGAAGAGAAGATAAGAAAGGAAGAGAAGATAAGAAAGGAAGAGAAGATAAGAGAGGAAGAGAAGATGAGAAGAAAAGAAAAGAAGAGGGGAGGAGAGAGGAGAGGAGAAAAGAAGAAAGAAGAGGAAAGGAGAGAAGAGAAAAGAGAAGAGGAGGGGAAGGAAGAGAAGAGGAGGAAGAGAAAACAGAAGAGGAAAGAAGAGAAGCCCAGATGAGACAGGACAGGAAGGGAAGGCAAGGCAAGGGAGCAGAGGGGAGGGGAAAGGAGAGGAGAATCTCCAAACTGAGTGATTTTAGCGGCCAACTAATCCACCTTGCATCTAGCTAGGAATTGATGTGGTCTTCCAGCCTTTGAACACCTCCACTGAGGTACGGCCTGCTGCCTCCCAAGGCCACCCATTCCAGTTGGGGGTCACTATTACCTGGTGGCTTTTTGGAAAACCGATCACATCTGGGTTTCCACTTTTCCAGGCTAAACATTCTACAGATCCTCTTGGGCCCACATCAGGGCACCATGCTTTTTCTCCTCCGACTGGCTCTCTATACGGTCACAATCCTTCCTTAAATGCTGGGGCCAAAGCTGAACATGATATGGCCGTCATGGAAGCTTATGGCTCAGCACAGTCCCTGGAACACAGTAGGCGCTTAATAAATGTTTATTGACTGAAAGATTGCTTAGTCTTGGACCGAATGTCTCTTTCTACACAGCTCGAGTGTGTGTTAGTTTCTTCGGTTGACATGTCACACAGCTAATACGTATTAAACTTTCTGCCCACTAAAACCCCAAGTGCTTTTTTTTTTCAGATGAAGACAGAAGAGATTTCCATTTCTCAGCAGAGCAGCTCGACACCAAGAGGCCTGTTGCTTGCAACAGTGCAGCTCAAATGATTCAAATTGTGTTCATTGGATGTCATGTACGTATGTATGTATGTATGTATGTATATATATGGAGCTCTCTGTCTATCTAGTGAGTGGGCATTGCTCCCACGCAGTACAGAGACTAGGTGTTAAGGGAGATCTAGGAAGGACCTCATAGACCATCTAGTCCAATGCCCTCATTTTACAGATGAGGAAAACTGAGCCCTTAGTATCCAAGATCAGGCAAGCGGTAAGGGACTGAACCAGGTCCTGAAGCCAAGGTTTAGGCTCATAGATCTCGGAGCTCATCTAATTCGACCCCTTTATTTTGCAGATGAAGAAACTGAGGTCGAGGGAGGTCCAGTGACTTGCCCAAAGTCCCAAAGCTAGTGTCAGGGGTGGGATTTGAACCTAGGTCCTTGGACTCCAAAGACACGCTACCAGGTGATATAATTGATTCAAGGCCTCACAGCCAACAAGGGGCATGACTCTAATTGGAACAAAGATCTCCTGACTCCAGCTCTGCTGCTCTCCCACTCCATATTTAAACACTAAGAAAACATGGAAGAGCCACGGGACATTTACAAAATACGGCTGGGGCTCTGAGGGTCTGCACGTGCCTAGTGAACAAGGAGGCCCAGATGGAAAGAGAACCTGACCAGCTTCCTCCCTCGGTCAATTCTTTCTCTCACATTGTCACCAAAAGGTTCTTTCTTGGTATTTCATTCGCGTCGAGGGCTTCCCACCCCTCCTCCCCCCAACAGCTGGGGAGGGGTGCAGTGGGGGGGTAGTGGAGAGAAGAGCTGGGCAATCCAGCTGCAAATCACATCTGGTCTTCTTTTCAGGTATTGGAACAAGAGTTGGGGGGGGGGATGATTGCCGTTGGTGTTCTTCATCTAGAAGAAAATGAGTTTGGGAAATAGAGAAAGCTGTGAAATAGTTAAAAGGGCCCAATTTTCTATGGATCTGGCAGCCCCCCCCCCCACCTTGGACTCCTCAGCTTGATGCACTGGCACCCGGTCCACAGGCATTTATTAAGCATCTATTATGTGCCAGGCCAGTGCCCCCAGAAACCCCCTCTCCCCCCTCCCCCAACCCTCTTCCTCCAACTCCCCTCGGTCACCCACCTGACCTTTTGGAATGTGCATGAAACTGGCCAAAGAGGGAAAGGGGCAGGAAGTGCCTGGGCAGGAAGCTGCCAACGCTGGTCTGCTTAATTGAGTTGGGATAATTGACGGATTTCTCTCTCTCTGAGGGTCCTAATTCAGTGGAAAAGGGGAGGGCCCCTTTTAATTGCTGCTGTCGGTCCATCAGTGATTTCTCTGTGGCTCTTGGGATGAGGCTGGCTCTCAGGCAGAAACTAATGAAGGCTTTATTTCTGTTTAATCCTCATTAAAAGGGCAGGGACAAAGCCCAGCAATCTGGAGACAGACTGAGTTTAGGCCAAAGAATGCTGAACTTGGAGTCATAAGACATGGGTTCTAATTCTGGCCCGGACATGCTTAGCTAGGGGGCCACTGGCCATCCACACAGGGAAACTTGCTGGATTTTTAATCAGAGACTTGGGTTTGAATCTTAAGTCTGATACTCCCCATGTAACGCTGGTCAGATCACTTCATCTTGATTACTTTTCTCATCTCAAAAAAGAAACTTTCCTCTAGGAAATGACCTTGATAGGTCTTTTTATGACTAAATCTCTGGACCCCATCCTCCTATAAACCGGCTGGGGCCTTTCGCTGGAAGTCTTTATAATGACTTCACAGACAGCTTCAGGATTTCATTCTGCTTTTATTGTAATTCTAGGGATCATTTAAATGTCTGCAGTGGGCACTGCTACTTTCTATGTCCCTATTGTTCTAATCATCTATTTTTTAATTCACTCAGAACCACAACTAGGGTCAGACAACTGGATCTTTGTCCCAGGACACTGAAATTTAGAGGAGCTGACAGTGCTTAGAATTTTTCAGTAGCACAGAAACAACTGAGCTTAGCACCTGTTTGGCAAGGGTAATATATCTGTTTTTTCATCTGGGAGTTCCCTACACCAGTGAAATCATCTGTCTGGGCCTCATTCCCCTAATTTGTTTAAATGAAAAATTCTTAGATGACATGCTCCTGTTCTCCAGATGAACTCCTCTGAAGCCCCATCCCTCTTTATTTTTCCCTTTTCCATAATTTGGGACCTGTCTAGCAGCAGCCTTACAGTGTCAATCAACAAACAGGTATTTATCAAATGCCTACTATGTGCCCTGGGGATAAAAATCCCTGTCCTCAAGGAGGTGATATTCTTTGTGCTCTGTCTCTCCTGTCTTAGGGTAGTATCCTGTGGGCTTCCTTTCTCTGGGGTCTTATCTGGTGATGTCTCCCCCTCCACCCAGTTCCTTGTCAGATCCATTTGTCTTAAAAAATTGATCGGTTTTGGAAGCTTGTTCCGAGCACCCAAGTTGCTGGCTCTTACTGTGCATCCACTCTGGTACATTTGGAGAGTTCACAGTTCAGAAGGGCTTGACCACAAGGCAGTGGGGTTGGTTAAGCTCATTATGTCTCTGTGCCTTTATTTCATTCCTTGTCTTTGTATTTTGCTTCTCTCAGAGACCTCAGACCCTTCATTGGTCACCAAGCTCTCTAGTTTGCAATCCACTTATACTATTGAGTACTACAACAATCTGGGGTGGAGCCTAATTCCTTACTAGATAGTGAACACCACAAGGCAGAAATTTGGCATCCCCTAGTGTGCTGTGCACACAGTAGTTACTAAATGAATGTTCATTCAATTATGGCAAGGTGGCCCAGTGACTAGAGCATTGTTGATCCAGGAGTCAGGAAGCCACGAGTTTAAATCTAGCCTCAGACACTTATTGGCTGTGTGACCCTGGGCAAGTCACCTTCACAGATATCTGCCATAGTTTCCTCATCTGTAAAATGGGGATCATAATAAGACGTATCCTTCAGAGTTGTTGTGAGTCTCGAATTAGATGTTTGTAAAACTCTTAGCAAATCTTAATGCATTATCGAGACACTAGTCATTGTTACTATACATGACAATAAAAACAACTACTCGTATAGCATTTTAAAGCTTGCAATATATGTTTCCTCAGAAGGAGTCTCAGCTTCATCCAGCTGCCAAAGGGGCTAGGACGCAAAAAGGGTTAAGAACCCGTTGGTGATAAAAAGGGATGAGGGTTACAAAGACAAAACCGCCTAGGAGGTATAATTGTCTCCTTTTTACAGATGAGGGAAGTGAGTATCTGAGGAGGGACGTGGTCTGCCTGGGTCTCACAGCTAGAACAGCTTTGGGTTTGGAGTCAGCTCCGGGCTCTGAATCCTCCCTCTCTGATAGACTTGTTTAGTCTGAGGGCAAATTAGGGACCTCGGGGCCTCAGTTTCCTTACTGGATCCATAGGGTACTCTCCTGTTTGGTCACAGGATCATAGACTCAGATCTAGAAGGGACCTCAGGGATCATTCTTGTTCACCCCCTGCATGTTACAGACGAGGAAACTAAGGCTGGGGAGAATAAAAACCTTAAACCCAACTCTAATGAGGGAATTGGTCTAGATGAACCCCACGTCCCATCTGGTTCTAAATTTCTGATCCTGTGTCTGCAGTGCCTTTGGAGCATGTTCAGAGTTATAGAAATGGAGGCCTCTTCATTCCCCATAATATAGTGAAGGATGAAGGCTTCCCTGTTATCTGAACTGAGCATGTCCAAACTAGCCTGGGTTATATTTTATTTTCTGAAATCGCTCCCTCTCAGCTCTCCCTCCCCCTCTTATTGAGAAGGCAAAAAACCCCAAAACTCATTAAAACATGCATAGTCAAGCAAGATAACTTCCTGTATTTGCCATATCAAAAGTGGGGAGGGGGGGAAGAGAGAGAGAGAGAAAGAGAGAGAGAGAGAGAGAGAGAGAGAGAGAGAGAGAGAGGAGAGAGAGAGAGAGACAGAGAGAGAGAGAGAGACAGAGACAGAGAGAGAGATAGAGAGAGAGAGAGAGACAGAGAGAGAGACAGAGACAGAGAGAGAGAGGATGAGACAGAGAGATAGAGAGACAGAGAGAGAGAGAGACAGAGAGAGAGAGGATGAGACAGAGAGATAGAGAGACAGAGAGAGAGAGAGAGAGAGAGAGAGAGACAGAGAGAGAGAGAGAGAGAGAGAGAGAGAGAGAGAGAGAGAGAGCAAGCAGGGAGGAGAGAGAGAGAGAGAGAGAGAGAGAGAGAGAGAGAGAGAGAGAGAGAGAGAGAGAGAGAGAGAGAGGGAGAGAGAGAGAGAGAGGGAGAGAGAGAGAGAGAGAGGGAGAGACAGAGAGAGAGAGAGAGAGAGAGAGAGAGAGAGAGAGAGAGAGAGAGAGAGAGAGACAGAGAAGACAGAGACAGAGACAGAGAGGCAGAGAGAGAGAGGAAGCAATAAAAAGGAAAGGAAAGAATGTGTGCTGCAGTTTGTACTCTGAGCCTCTCAGCTCTCCATCTAGAGGTAGGCAACATTCTTCATCATGAGTCCTTTAAAACTGTGGCTGGTCATTGTGTCTGTCAGTTACTAAGTCTTTCAAAGCTGTTTATCTTTATAATATTGTTATCATTGTATAAATTCTTCTCCTGGTTCTGCTCACCCCACTCTGCATCATTTCAACAAGTCATCGTAGATTTCTCTGAAACCACCCCATCATCATTTCTTACCACCCAAATATTACAACACATTCATATTCCTCAGTTGATGGACGTCCTCAATTTCCACTTCTTTGCCATGACAAAAAGAGCTTCTATGAGTATTTCTGTACATGTGGGTCCTTTCCCTCTTTCTCTGATCTCTTTGGGATCCAGATGTAACAGTGTTATTGCTGAGTCAGAGGGTAAGCACAGTTTTATAGCCCTTCGGGCATAGTTCCAGAAGGCTTTCCAGAATGGCTAGAACAGTTCATAGCTCCACCAACGGTGTATTAATGCACCTGTTTTCCCACAGCCTCTCCAGCATTTATCATCTTCCATTTTTTTGGTTAACTTTGCCATTCTGATGGGTATGAGATGATCCCTCAGAGTTGTTTAAATGTGCATTTCTCTAA